CCTCCCTCCCTCCCTCCCTCCCTCCCTCCCAGGCTTCGGAATCTGCCTCTCTGCTCTCCCACTTCCCAGCTGCAAAGCAGACGGGAGGCCGATACGCTTGGGCTTTGGTGCCTCAACTCGCCAAAGGAAGCTCGGCTCCTACAGCGACCCTGGATCGCTTTTTTCAATCCAGGTTTTAAAAAAATAAATAAATCAGGGAGGAGGGGCACAAAATGGAATAGCCAGGCAAAGCCCTTGCTTTGTGGGTAAGGATTTCGAGAGGGAGAAGGAGCCTTGGGAAAGAAACGAGTTGGCTTCTCTGCTTTGCTTTTAAATGCACCCATAGGTGTGTAGGCCTCATCTCTGGTATGGCCTTTCTGGGGCTTGTTATTTACACACAACATACTATATCCCTTCTATGGCCCTGTCATTCCAAGTAGAGTCTTGCGCCCTGCGAGGGGGTCAGTTCCAGCACTCCTCTGCCACCTTCCTTGCCTCTTAGTGCCCCCCTGCTGCCCCCCTTGCCTCTTAGCGCCCCCTAAGTCATCCCACCGCCCCTCAGAGGGCAGTACCGCCCACTTTGGGAACCACTGGACTAGGGTAATGTTTCTCAGTTTTAACAGTTTTTTAGATGTCTGGACGTTTTGAGACTTGAAGTGTAATCATTTTAAAATTGTTGAGATTGAGAAATGCTGGATTACGCTGGATTTCTGAATAAAGATGTACAGGGTTGAGTTAACTGTCATTTTTCCTCCTTCTCTCTTTCCACTTCCTCTTTGCCCCTTCCCCCAAATTCTTTGATTTACCATTTTAAGGCTCACTGGAAATTGGACAGAAGTTTGACAATAACTTCATTTCATTACTGACATGCTTTAAATTCCAGCATTCCATGTATGTGGTGGCAGTAGAAAAGAGACCACTGGATTTTAAAATTTCTTTCTTCTGTCTCTTTGGCAAAGCTTTTCAAATACTGAGGCATCTCAATTAGGTCACATGTGGAAAAAAACACTGAACCACAGGCTGCAAGGAAGTTCAATAGTTTCCTGTGAAAAATGTTGCTAAACATTTGCAGCAAAACTTTTGTTCTTTGTGACTAAGAAGCTCAGAGACTCAGAATAAAAATGCTTCCTTTATTATCTTTCTGATAAACTGCTATTGTTTGTTTAATACAAGCTGCATGTTTAATTCTCTTTCAGATTATCAGCCTACTGCAAATGCTTTTCAAGTTGAAAAACAGAAAATGAATGTTTGAAATAAATATATTTTTCAATTGTCTTTTGTTCCATGCTCTTCTTATTACTTTATATTTTATTTTTATTCTGCTCTTTCTCAGATTCTAACTGACTGAGTGTCCCTAGAAGACAAACTATGAATCAGAGAGTGAAATATATAAATTGAGCAAAACTCACAATAAGAGCAAAAATACAAGCAAGAGCTTCCATTCCCACCATTAATTTCATGTACAGTGACATTTATACAAGAGGCTTGTCTCCTGTACTCCATTCATCATGCTTCAGATCACAGGGTTCCCATGGACAAACATGGGATTCCCAAGGATTTCCTGATAAAGGGCATGGTGATACCCCCCAAGTTGATCAATAAACTGTTGGGAAAGACAGAGATGGGGAGCACCCCTGCTGACTCCAGAAATGGCTTTCATCAACCACCATAACAGTGCTAAGCTATAGTTTGGTGTACAAAGAATAAGACTGACATTGTAGCTTTACTTGTTTCTCTTAGCCAGCCCTGCCATGCAATTGCAAAGTGGCTGAAGGTCTGCACTTCTATTTTTCATTGATTATAGCTTCATGTAAAATATAAAACACAAACTATGAACCTTATTTATCTTTATTAGAAATAACCATCCTTTTTATCTGAAGTTTGATTCTGGCTTGTTTGGTAATTATAATTGATATTAAGTAGTTTTTAAAGTTGAGATATAACTCTGATCTGGAGGTGAACTTTCATATTTCTCCTCATGACCATCCTAGAAATGGGACAATCATTTTATTTTTGTAATGAAAAAAGCAGAAAATTATTTTTTAAAAATATTCACATTCCTACACAAACATCAATGTTCATCCACATAGGTACAAATAAAATTGGAAGTCATTTTTCCATATTTATTTTCTTATTTGTCTCATTCTACTTTTCACTTTCTAACTTGTCTGTCTTTTTGATCTCCTACCGCCTTTTTAATCTTCTGATCTTATTTCCGTTCAAATTTCTTCTTTTTATAGCTTTAAATGCAATTCTCTGTTTATGTCTTACAAAAATATAGTGCAAAGCTACAAAGATATAGTATAGGACAGTGATGACAAACCTTTTTGGGACTGAGTGCCAAAAAGGGTGTGCCTGTATGTGTGTGTGTACGCACCAGGTGCCGAAAAGGGAGCATTTCGCGCACGTCTCAGCTGTGAACAGGAAGAGTGGCTTCCCAGGGGGCATGTGTGTGCTGGAAAATGAACTTCCAACCAGCAAGTCTTCTGGTTTCTGGAACGCATGCGCATGCGCCAATCAGCTGGCCAGCGTGCAGGCTCATGCCGGAAAATGGAAGACCAGCTCTTCCAGTTTCCGGCACTGTAGCACGCACAAAGGCCAGCTGAAAATCACATGCGTTATGCGCACCAGAAAACCAGAAGATAAACAGCCAACACTGTGGGTGCCAGACAACATGGTTCCATGTGCCAGTTCAGGCACACATGCCATAGGTTTGCCATCATGGGTATAGGACATATAGATATAGAACAATGTAAATATAGAACAAGTTTTAAATTTCTTTTTTTTATTGCTTTAAATGCAATTCTCTGCGTATGTATTACAAAAATATAGTACAAAACTACAAAGATATAGTATATGAAATATAAATATAGAACAATGTCATACAAGAAAATACTTAAATTGCTTGAAAACAACAGCAATCATACAATCATTAAAACAGGCGACAGCCTCCCTAGTCATGAAGTCCTACATAGCTTTTTGTGGGAAATAATAAATTACTCTGAACCTTCTGATTTTCTAGTTTTGTTTCTAATCTATTTTCCAACAGCCACACTTTAAGCCTGCTCAGAGTTGGCTGGCTAACCATAAGTTTATAGACATTGCAATGCTAATATGGAAAGCAAAAGTATTTCCTCTGAGAGAAGGAAGCATGAAACACAAAAATACTTAAAGTCTTTCTTTTGTGCGCCGGGGTGGTTTTGGATAAGGGCATGATTTGGAGGGAGCAATCTGTTGTTGCAGTTCAGAAGGAGGTGACCTGCTTTTTTGAGTTGTTGGAGTAGACCCAGAAGAAACAGGAATCTCCGGAAGTTTTCTTTGTTGCATGTGATTCTGAATCTGGATTTGCAGGGCATACTCCTCAGCTGCAGTAAGGACAAGCAAACAAAAACTCTAAGTAACACTGATGGTCTAACTCAGTGGTAATCAACCTGGTCCCTACCGCCCACTAGTTGGTGTTCTGGCTTTCATGGTGGGCGGTAGGGGTTTACTGTAACTCTGCTTTATAAATTTTATAAAGTAAAGTTACTTCCCTACTTTATAAAT